GAATAGTTGTTGTATGTAACATCAGGTATGTCAAATGATTTTATTAATTAAAACCACACATTAATTTCATTAATTAATAATACCAATAGTAGCAAAAAAATTGAATTTGCTGATATAAAATAGTTGCTATAAAATTCTATTTATTTCTTTCCTTGCGAAATACTTTCAAGTTTTTATCCGTTTTTATCACACTTTCTCGCCATGCCGATGCCGGTCGCATTGCGCGAGGTCAGGTTTTACAGTGGATCAGTTTCCAGTGCCGCACAGTGGGAAATATTGGACAAAATTCTCGCCACTCGCCAACTTTCATTCATCGTCTCGTCGTGATTTTTTTTTAATAATCTCGTGGTAATCCGAATTTTCATATTCCGGTGAGGTTGTTTCGAAAAACCCTTTTTTTAATGCTTAGGGAGCGCCCCAACCTCAATGTCGAAGAAAAATTTTTTAAATATTTTTTAATTTTTTTTAGATATTTGATTCTCCTAACTCCTGAATTTGCGGTTAGGTTATTCTATCAGGCTTCATTGCAAATTTAATGGTTAGTAATAATAAGCCACAATAATGTTTTACAAACGTTTTATTGCTATGTAGATGCTTTTATGGAATTTTTCTAGCAAAAAATTCGAGTTTTCGAAATTTCAAGGTCTTTAGGTTATTTTCAGTTTTAACTAAAGGTTTTGGCGATCGCGATGATGAACACTCAACAAAAATACATTTATACTTTTTATTAAAAAAATAATTTTGTGAGCATTTTTTTCTTTCCAGTTTTGAGGTTAGGTTCTTGGGTTAAGGTGTCAGATTTGGGTACGGTATGGTACAAGGTGTGCGCTCTCGGAAAAACTGTTGATCGAATCTCTGTACAATAAAGATATTTTTCATTCCTTTTATTAATCCTTAATTTAGTGAGTTTAAACTTAGTTAATGTTGGTTTTGAGGTTAGGTTTTTTAGATTCAAATTCATGGTTTGGGTATAACATATTACGTAGGGTTCTATTGAATCCATTTCGTACTTTTGGCATGTGAAAAAAAATTTTTCCAATATAAATTTTGTTTAAGGATTTTAGGTTAGAATTAATAATTTTGAGGTTAAGTTTTTGAAGAAAAAACATCAGATATGTCATCAAGGGTCATAATAATCAATTTTATTTATAGCAGATACTTTTTAAACATTTTTTTCTACAACTGAACATCGTATTTAAAAAAATTTTCTTCGATATTGAGGTTGGGGCGCTCCCTAAGCATTAAAAAAAGGGTTTTTTGAAAAAACCTCACCGGAATATGAAAATTCAGATTACCACGAGATTATTAAAAAAAAATCATGACGAGACGATGAAAATTGGCGAGTGACGAGAATTTTGTCCAATATATCCCACTGTGTGCCGTGCAGAAGTGTATTTTTAAATCATTTTCGAACTGCGTTTTTTGATTTTTTCTACAAAATTGCAATAATAAGAGTCTCCTGTAGTTAAGTTCTGAATCGCCCTGTATACTATACACCCTATCTCCAGATCAACTTTTGAGGCTAAAAACATTTTTAAAGTTAAAATAAAATCTGTGTGAATTGTATAATTAATTAAACTTAGTTAAATTGGTAAAAATAATTATTTATATCCTAGAAAGTAATTAATACAAATAATAACATAAATTAATTAAGAATTCAAATATTTATCATTAAGGAATATTTTTTTAAATTAAGTTATACAGGGTGTCTGGTAAGTACATGATATATTCTCGGGAGTGTATAGGGAAGGTCAAAATAACCCTAGTTTGTCATAAAAAAATTCACAAAGTGCCTCTTGACGAAGATACAGAGCCTCAAAGGGGTGGGTACCCAGCGATTTACTTTTTAGGCTCTAACTTTTGAACCGAGGTGTATAATTTAATGAAATTTTAATATTTTATGTAGGCCATAAAAGCTCATAAAATCATACTATAGTAGATGTTTTACACTGTCAGGGAAGTCAGGAACGGACGAGCAACCACACTCGTTGGGCCAAAATTTTGACAGGTGTCATTTTATAGATCTGAAAACTGAATATAAAATGACATCTATCAAAATTTTTACCCAACGAGTGTGGTTGCAAGTCCATTCCTGATTTCCCTGACAATCTACAATAGAATTTATAAGCCTTTATGGCCTAGTCGGTTTAAAAGTTAGAGCCGAAAAGGTAACTCGCTGGGTACCCCTTTGGTACCCTGTATCTCCGTCAAGGAGCACTTTAGGAATTTTTTTCTTATGGCAAACTAGAGTTATTTTCACCTCCCCTATACACTCCCGAGAATATGCTATATAATTACAAAACACCCTGCATATTAACATAAGTTTTATAAGGATAGTATAAATTTTGAATTTAGAGATAACATGGATTCTCGATATAGGAGGAACAAAATTCAACAATTCACCGCTTCGTTGGCGTTTGGTTTTTATTTTATTCCGATATTTTCCAGGTGGGAAGTTTTTAATTGGAACACCCTGTATATAAAATGAAATGGTAAAATTTCAGTTGTCAGTTTTTTAAAAGTAAACCACCGTCTGCTAAATCGCAACACCCGTGCTAATTCTAGTCTGTTCCATTGTTTTTGAGGATTTTTGCCTCAATAGTTTAAATCATTATGATGACATTTATTAGGAATTACGACAAATCTGGAATATTTATTGAGGTTTATGTTTGTCTTCAAGTATTATTTTCAAATTTATTAATACAAAATTAAATTAATGCAATATTGTGTTCCTTATTGTGAAAATAAAATAGCCAACCAACATGTTAATACTCAATTTTCTAAAAAATATAATAAGCGAAAAGTACGGTACATACTATACAAAATAATAGTGGCGGCCTTTTATTTGTAGTAAGTAAAAAAAGCAAACTACAAAATTGAATTTTATATTATACAATATTTTTAGTGCTTATTACGAATGTGTTCAGGTCCATTCACACCACCATGTTCACGAAAACACGTTCCTAAATCCAGAGCTGTGTCTTTAGGGTCATCCTTCTCAACCGCACATTTTTCTATAGCTTCGTTTAACTTGGTTTCATCTGTAATGAAGTGGGAGAGAGCTTTTTTCAAGGTGCATTTGTTTATTTTTCCATTTTCATCTATTACACCAAATTTCGCGGACATACAAAGTATGTGTGCACCAATCTTAGACTTGTCGACTTGTTCTCCTTTATGGTGTTTTTTCAAGAGCTCCTCGTCAGCATAAGTTTTTGGATCCGCTTGGCATTCGCTGTGAATTGTGTTGATTTTGTGATTACTATTATTTGTTTTTAAATCTTCATTCGAACATTTCAATTTTTCCCTGAGAAGTACAATTAATATTAAATAATCGACAATAACTTGTTCAAATCTTAAGAAGTACCTAATTAATAAAATGTAGGTACAACTTACTGAAACCACTAAGGCGGCAATGCACAACTATAGCACAAGTTCTCATGATTCGATATTTTTAGAATATTGCAATTATAAGAGCTCTTGATATACACGGTGATAATTATGTTATTATCTAGGGGTTATGCGAGGCCAAAATATATATTTTGTTTTTTTTTTTCATAGAAGCAGCATAATAGTATTATCTAATATGATTTATTAACATCACAATTAGGCTATGCACTATCTATTCTATCCAATATGGTAAAATATTAATTAATTTACAGAACATTAACAAAACATGCTACGAAATATATTTTAATCTGAAAGCAAGAAAAGTGGGATCTGGTTTATTTAATAACACATTCCCACAAAAAAAGTTATGCGAGTACATAAATTTGTACTTTTTGATGCTCAATCCGATTCCGCAGCCCGAAAACCGATTTACCATGTCATTTGTAGTAAAACGCTAAAACATCCTCTAAAATAGGGTGAAATTGTGAGGATAAATTAAATATATTTGAGGTTATGTTATATGGAGAGGTAAATTTTTTTGCTGAAACAACTCTTCCAAACTCTTTCAAACGCACTTGGATTTAAATCTCATGTTGAAATTTAGTAGCTTGACTTCTGAAAAAATTCTTAAAATGCGAAATAATTAAATGCTTAAAATAATTAACCCTTGAACTCTGAACAAACTCTGAAAACTGTGGAAATCTCAATATTAACAACAATCCTTATTGAAATTCGGCTGACTCGACATGACGTGATCTAGCTAATTATGACTAAACTAAATTTGTGAAAGGTTATCAAGTGCCTGTAATAACTAATCCAAACAGAAATCAAAATAGTTACGAACTAATTCGTAGTCCTAAAACTCTACCCACCATTTTTTATTTAACGAAATTCGAAAACAGGAGAGAGTACTAACAATAAGATACATTCAGACTAGTAACCTGTACATGTACCTCAGACAAAAATGATCATACAGCAACGATAGAATTATAAGGTAAAAACACTTGATTTTAAAACTTACTTTGGTCCGAAAATGCTTCGCTTACAAGGTACAAGGATATTAAAATCTTACGATTGAAATGGTTTTTCATTAATATCTGAGAATCGACAATTGTATCTGATTTAAATTAGGTACACGTTGTAAGACATCAGATATACAGAACGAAAATATGCGTCGAATTGTCGACATTGCCCACGCTTTTAGGATGTTAGGACGTCCGCGACAATAAATTTCTTGTATAAGACTTGATTTCACCAATCTACTAGTATGTATTTAAGTTAAAGGAGCTAACATAAAAAACCAGATGAAAGATAATGTATCAAACACTGTACAAAAGCATTATCACAACAAGAATTAAAAATTACTATAACTTACTACAATAGCCACTGTGAGACTTATCGAATTAAGATTTTCTACATAAAGACTAGAAAATTTTATTCAATAGATAGTGACAGTAATGGTTTAACATTTTTTTGTATATATTTCTGTATCACGTTTGTAATATTTAGCATAAAATAAGTTAAATAAAGTAGATAATATTATTTTATAATTCGTTCATACACCAATGATTCTATTTGTAGTATGTATGTACGAAAACAAATTAACTACAAAATTGAATTTTTATATTTATTTTGCAATATTTTTAGAACCTATCATGAATGTGTTTAGGTCCACTCAAGCCACTTTCTTCACGAAAGCACTTTACTAAATCCAAAGCGGTGTCTTTATGATCATTCTTCTCAACCGCACATTTTTCCATAGCTTCGTTCAACTTAGTTTCATCCGAAATGAAGCGAGAAAAAGTTGTCTTCAAGGTGGATTTGATTATTTTTCCATCTTCATCTAGTACACCAAATTTCGTTACCATACAAAACATGTGAGCACCAAGTAGGGACTTATCGAATTGTTCTCCTTTATAGTATCTTTTTAAGAGTTCCTCATCAACTTGAGTTTTTGGATCAGCTTGGCATTCGATGTGGATTTTCTCGACTCTCTTTTTTTGTCCTTCATTAGTACAGCGGATCTGTAGATTTTTGTCTTATTAATAATCTCTGTTGACTAAAACAGTCATGAAAAGGGCAGTTATTATATTTATATTTTCCCGATAAATATATTTTTGCAATAATTTTAGTAAGAAGAAATATATGATAATATTTACAGAAATGGTTTGAATTACAAAATATTTATGAAATAAAAATGTGAAATTTAATTTAGCCATTCGTGGTATTCCTTTACTTTTTTAATTTCTTTATTATTTGTATCATAAGACATAAACCAGAAAGAAAATTACATAAACTTTAAAATCATGTTCCTTGTTATTCCTATTAATTGTTTTAAAATTTTTCATTTGTACATTTCAATTTTTTCGTGAAAAGTACACTTAATATTAAATAATCGACAATAACTTGTTCAAATCTTGAGAAGTAATTAGTAAAATATACAACTTACTGAAACCACTAAGGTGACAATACAAACAACTATAGCACAAGTTCTCATGATTTTATATTTTTTGCATATTTCCATTTTAAGAGCTCTTTATATATACAGAGATAATTCTGTTACTATCTAGGGGTTATGCGAGGTCAAATGTGTTTCGTAGTTTTTACTTTTTTTCGCAGAAATGGCATAATAATATTAACTAATATGGTTTGTTAACATCACAATTAAGTTATTCTGTCCAATATTGGTAAAATATTAAAAATCACAGAACATTAACAAAAGATACTCGTACTTGGACATAATTTTTTATCTGAAAGCAGCAAGGTGGGATATGGTTCATTTAATAATTGCGTGAAGGGAATATAAATGGTACATCATCACTATTTACCAGTAGGTAATGCCACTTCAAAAATGTTTGACTTTAAAGTTTCTGAGATTTAACGTCGAAGTAAAAGTGATTTAAACTAGATAAAAGCTTTGACAACTAGAAACTGGCAGACAGTAAAAACTAATCAAAATAGTTACTACTCTATCCGCAAATTTCTATAAATAAGCACAGTTTACATTATCATTAAGGTACGAATTGGCTAAAAGGTTTTGGTAACTCTAAAACTAAAATATAATTCATTTCAAAATATTACTAATAATTACAATTTACTAATATATGATAAATACATAGGAATGCATTTATAGAATCTTGAGGAAAAATACTGTGATTAAAAGCTGTTAAGTCAACAACAAACAAGAAATAAACTATTTCTGACTTACAATCACACAACTAATTAATGTTTATGTAAAATTTTTATCGCAGTGTAAACATATCTGTTAAAAATAAGAGTATTTCAAATATAAATAATTAATCGAATCTATTGAACGTACTTTGTAGCTTATATCTGATTTACATTCGAAAGAATAGGTACTTTGTTATTAACCAAAATTGTATTTACCTNTAATAAAATATACAACTTACTGAAACCACTAAGGTGACAATACAAACAACTATAGCACAAGTTCTCATGATTTTATATTTTTTGCATATTTCCATTTTAAGAGCTCTTTATATATACAGAGATAATTCTGTTACTATCTAGGGGTTATGCGAGGTCAAATGTGTTTCGTAGTTTTTACTTTTTTTCGCAGAAATGGCATAATAATATTAACTAATATGGTTTGTTAACATCACAATTAAGTTATTCTGTCCAATATTGGTAAAATATTAAAAATCACAGAACATTAACAAAAGATACTCGTACTTGGACATAATTTTTTATCTGAAAGCAGCAAGGTGGGATATGGTTCATTTAATAATTGCGTGAAGGGAATATAAATGGTACATCATCACTATTTACCAGTAGGTAATGCCACTTCAAAAATGTTTGACTTTAAAGTTTCTGAGATTTAACGTCGAAGTAAAAGTGATTTAAACTAGATAAAAGCTTTGACAACTAGAAACTGGCAGACAGTAAAAACTAATCAAAATAGTTACTACTCTATCCGCAAATTTCTATAAATAAGCACAGTTTACATTATCATTAAGGTACGAATTGGCTAAAAGGTTTTGGTAACTCTAAAACTAAAATATAATTCATTTCAAAATATTACTAATAATTACAATTTACTAATATATGATAAATACATAGGAATGCATTTATAGAATCTTGAGGAAAAATACTGTGATTAAAAGCTGTTAAGTCAACAACAAACAAGAAATAAACTATTTCTGACTTACAATCACACAACTAATTAATGTTTATGTAAAATTTTTATCGCAGTGTAAACATATCTGTTAAAAATAAGAGTATTTCAAATATAAATAATTAATCGAATCTATTGAACGTACTTTGTAGCTTATATCTGATTTACATTCGAAAGAATAGGTAGAGTAGTTTCAAAATCTAATGAGCCGCGAAATGCGCGAAAGGCGTGACCTATCCACATAATTCTTCTAATAAGCACGTTGTGAAAACATTGACTCAGAATTAGACCACGTGCCGCATTACAACCAGAAATGAACTAAGTCAACTGGCGAACGTTCGTTGTACATATTTTTATTGCTTAAATTAAAATAATAAAGAATAGAGCATTTTATTATGATATTTGTAATAGGAGCAAAGGCTTGTTTACGCTACGAGAGCTCGAGATAGACTGTGAATAATGGATGTAATGTTTTTAGGACGTAGAATAATTTAGGCGATGGTCGGTATTATGTTTCTGCGCATATCAAGGTCAAAGCTCATAAGATTTTGAAACAACTCTACTTTGTTATTAACCAAAAATGTATTTACCTTAATGAACATCAGTTTATTTTGCAATTGAGAAGCCGTCGATTGGTTAGCTTTGCTTCTTTAACTCGTTGTTAGATGTCAGTGTATCTGCACATATACATAAGTAGTATTATTTAGTAAATTAATTATACACTCATTCAAATCCAGTTTATTTAACTTTAAGGTGTCGGAGTAAATTTGTTAATGAGTAGATAATATTTATGCTTACAATTTCCCTCATGCATCCGCGATTCCCACGTATCATAAAAAGTAAATGGTTTAAGCTGCCTTTCACAAACTTATAATAATCTCTTTCGTGTATTAATGTCGTTACGGTACTGTTAGTAACGATATGTAAACAATCCATCAGGTTACACCATTTTAAACAAATTTCGCAGCTAAGTGTACAGTCAAGTAGACTAGTACACTGACTACATTACAGAAATGAATAAAAAATAGGCAATGATTTTTACCTGCTCCCACTGTAGTAAATAGGTTATTAATACATTGTTTTTAAGGAAGTAAGTGGATTTTACCGTAGATGTAGAAGTTGCTATGGACAACGGGAGGTAGGTGAGGTAACTTACCTCCCTAGGGAAAAAAGCGATTTAGAGTTATAAATGCATATTTTATGAACAAATAAATAGAAATATTTAATGAACATTATATTTTATTAATTATGATGAATGAATATTTATAGTAATTGTACAGTTATTACATTTAGTAATATTTATAAAATCTGTATAATTATTCTTCTCGCGTTTACTAATTGTCACATTTTTCTCAAAATGATTGGACGGCTCCATTTCAGTCACTGGAGGCTCAACATTATCTGACTGATCCATTAAAACAGCATGATGCGACGTACTACTAGAACCTGGAGTCGGAGTGTCATTGTAAAGAATCCTGTTGGCTATTTCATATTTGTTACTTAAACTGTCAGCAACATAACTTTCTGCAATTGTGGCTGATTTCCACCCACCATGTCTCTTGATTGCTAATACATCAACTCCTGTATTAGCCAGTAATGTTGCCGATGTTCTGCGGAATGAATGGCCTGTATATGTTTCAGGATGTTCTAGTTTCAAAAACTGTGCAATCTTATATAGGAATCATAGAAAGGGTTATTCTTGTCGACTGTTGGTTGTAACATCTACCTGCTTGACAGCGCATAAGAAAGCGTGAAATTTCAGTTTTAATTTCCAGTCTAATCTTGATTAATTCTTGAGAATTTCTAGGTGAGAAACAGAACCCAGACAAGAAGTAATTGTAAACGTACGTAACATACTATTTTTAGAATCTGGAATTGTAACTACAATACCATCGAAATTTTTGAAATTGACGTTGTCCAAAGTAAGTTTGCATAACTCATCAGAACGGCATGCTCCTGCAATGCTTAAGTTCGTCACTACCGTCATTAGCAAATATGTGTTATCGGGTGCCTGAACGAGAAAATCGTTGACTTGTTCTCTTGTAAAAATGTTCGACTTTTAAGGTGTATAGCCGTTATTCTTACGTTTCAAAAATGCTCTCAGTTTGGGGTATTTTGAGGTATCAAAAGTTTTCAAATTTTTTTTGTGAAAATCGCCACTTAAGCCAACCAAAATCTTTTGTGGCTAAATATTGAGTATTAGTGATTCCTTCAAATTCTGTTCTAAAAGTTGGCCAGGGTTCTACAGAACTGCAAGAAAGTAATGTCAAACATGTCAAGAAAATTTAAAAATCTGGTAAAGTTCAAACCCTCTATGGTTTATATTATGGGTTGCAGAACTAAATTCTCTACAACTCTGCTATAGCTTTCCCTATAATTAAGTGTTTGCAATTGTTTATTAGCCGCTCGTATTTGTAAAGGAAATTATCCCGATTTTCTCGAAGTGACTGTTTCGAAAAAAATAAAAAATGATTTGAAAGGACGGCAAATGGTAATATGTGAAAACCACCAGAACATATGAAAATAGCAGCGAGGATAATTCATGTATAAGATCCATCTCTAAAATGTCAGAAAAAATTGTGAAGTCTAAGAAAAAATAAGCGTTATCGGAACAAAACTTCCAGAATTTAATACAATTTTATCACTAGATACTAAAAAGGTATCTAGAAAATCCGAAATTTTTTATTTCTAAAGTACTATTTACCAATCGACATTCTTGAGTATTGGAAGAACATGTATTTACACAATTTTCACTATTATGCTGACCATACCATAAATCTATAAATTCCATACTGATTTGGCAAAAAAATCGTCAGCGCGGTTGGTAAATGTTTGGGTCCAAAAATGTGGAGAATACAGAGTTGGACAATATCATTGAAGGAAATTTCAACAGGAATATGTATTTACAGCTTTTACAGCCTTTCATTTGTTGGAAAGACAGACAGGAAAGACTTAATTGAGTAGTTTAATTTAAAAATTGTTTAATTGTTTCATATTTCGTGTTAGGGAATATTTAAATGGTATTTATCCGGATATGTATGTGGATACACAGGCAGTTCATTTGCATAGCCTTTCCATTTCCCAGATTTATCTTCTATTGATTTTTTTTCTGGTGGGTTTATTTTAAGGAGATCGCTCGGACCGAAACTGTCGTTTTAAAATCGAAAATAACGAAGGCACATCTCCAAAAATGCTGAGGAATGTGTTAAAAAATTTTTGTTACAGAGTTGCATTGTGTGACGAGAATAATGGCGGATATTCTGAAAGCTATTTGACTATTTACAAGGTGTTGCATTTGAATTTTACGAGGTTTCTCAATTCTCTTGGAGCCCTGTTTAACCCTAAACAACTTTCGAAATAAACTTCGAAAGAACCACTGCTGACATAACTAATGAATTACTAACAGTGTAAGTAGTGATTTTGACGCAAAAAAAATTTGAAAGTTAAATATCTCGAAAAGTATTACCTTGAAATTGATATGAAAGAAAACAGGTAATAAAATTATAATCTTTATTAGATATATTTCTAGAGCCTAATGATTGAGATTATTTCCCTTATGAAAATCGTTGTAACTTTCACGAAAGCACTTTGCCAAAGCCATAGCTGTGTCTTGAGGATCGTCCTTCTGGGCGTTACTACATCTTTCTATAGCTTGATTCACCACAGTTTCATTTAAAAATAAATACGAAAAAAATTTCTTCACTATGGGTATGTTTATTTTTCCTTCTTCGTTTATATAATTTAACTTCGTGGACAAACAAAGCGCGTAAACGCCGATCGCGGATTTATCGATGTCTTCTCCATCATTAAATCTTTTGATCGAGATCTCATTGACACGAGTTTTGGGGTCTGCCTGACATTCCAAGTGCGCTGATGCCTTGAGGCCGCGGATCTACAGAATTTAGTATTACATATTGTCATTTAATTAAAAAGTTATAAATGGAGGAGGGTTTGAATAATTATTATGTTTTTACCAAGTATGTTTTCAGGACTCATATAATGAAACGGTTTTTTTTTTATCAAAATATATATTTTAAACAGTTTGATGAATCCTTTTAACTAATAATATTGGGCAGGCTAAAGCCCCGTCCAGTATCGAATTTCATCAGCAATATACAGGGTGCTTTAAAAAGTGTTGCCAAACTTGATGGGGTTATAGAGAACAGAAAATTATTGTATACAGGGTAATTCATTAACAATGGGAAAATCGANTTCTTGAGAATTTCTAGGTGAGAAACAGAACCCAGACGAGAAGTAATTGTAAACGTACGTAACATACTATTTTTAGAATCTGGAATTGTAACTACAATACCATCGAAATCAGAACGGCATGCTCCTGCAATGCTTAAGATCGTCACTACCGTCATTAGCAAATATGTGTTATCGGGTGCCTGAACGAGAAAATCGTTGACTTGTTCTCTTGTTAAAATGTTCGACTTTTTAGGTGTATAGCCGTTATTCTTACGTTTCGAAAATACTCTCAGCTTGGGATATTTTGATATAGTCACATTCTCCTCTATGAAAATGGTTGACTTAATCATTGAGTATTCACTCCACAAACTCGCCGGTGACTTTAAAGTTCTTGACTTCTCCATGAAATATGCTAGCAGTGACATTTCAGAAACACCAGTATTTTTGTTGTGGCACCATTCTTTGAAATTTCTAAATGCTCGTCCGTAGCGCATTTTCGACTTCTGGGTAATAAAAATTCGCAGGCAGCATTTGCTGCATTTTCTATTTGAAAATGACTCATTTAGAAATAATAATTCAAAACCAGCAAAATTGCAACATTTATGTAGCACACCTTAGAAACGACAAAATCCTAACAACCAAGGTGACTTTGCAAGATTTCGAATAATGTCAAAATATTATACACCACGCAGCAGTTAATTATAATTTACCTCTATCGCCAGTCCTAGTTCCGCTCGGGCGCAAAATCGTTCTCGACTGGTAAATACTTACCTCCCTTATGATGTAAACTATTGCATTTTCGACTATTCAAAATTTAATATGTGACACATGGTTATTGGTTTGACAAGAAACTTGACAAGGAAATGAAAGAGTAAGTTTTCCTGATCAATTCCAATTCAAAACAAATATTTGGAAAACTTAAAACTAGGTTAGTAATAGATATTTAAAGTTATGTTCGAATAAATTTTACGCCTACGTACCATTTTTGTTATTAGCTAAGTTCACTACTATTTTTGCATTTTTTTATGTTTGATGTAAAGCTCTATATTTTTCAAATACATCTTTGTTGTTTCTCTGCTTATGTTAAACCATGAGAGTTGTTTCTTCCTGTCTGTCAGCTGTACTCGTACATTAAGGAACTTGTATAAGTAAAAAATGTTATACAGCCTGTCCCATTAGGAAGTCCCATATCTAAGTGAAAAATTGGGAGAGCCGCATTTTCTTTTTTTTTAATGTTGCCAGATTTCTCAAGATTTATAAACTAAAAATACTTTCAATTATACAGGATGTTATACTTTTCCTAGCCAGATGCTAGCTTTAATTTAAATTTTTTAAATATTGTAGATGATACCAGAAAAATACATATACAGGGTGTTTTTGAATGGAGTAGCATAAATGATACCAGTGAATCTACATTTTAAAAGACCATGATCTGCAAAAAATCAGCTTAGTAAAATGTTCACCCCTGAAAAGATATGGGCCATCA